TATGAATAGAGACCTTTCCAACCTTCTTCAGGCGTCGAGCTAAATGACATTTGTCACCCTAGGCATGCCTGCCTAACTGTAGCTAGCAGTTCGGGTGTGGTATTGTCAGTCCCGAATAGATCTATTCACAAATCTCACGCTCTCCCTCCAGGAGACTCTGGTTATACTATGATAGGATTTATCCCTGTACACCTAAGGGTACAGTAGTGAAGTAGCGCCTCACAGTATCGTACAATCTAGTTTACATGTCGTGTCATGGCGTTTTATCGTAGCGAAAACCCATATGTATACCGTATGTAGTGAAAGTTACAGTTATGAATACCATGATAAAATAGTGATGTAAAATGTAAACTATTCATGTCTTAGAGCATATGTTTAGTAGTGAAAATTCTTGTACTTGTTATATTTAGAAAATCCCAAACTATACCGATTATAGTTTGCATGTGTAACGTAGTGAATAGCGAATCCGGAAAACTATGCAATTTTAGTGAAAAACGACCCTTATGCTCAACACAGTACAAAAGGGGTTAAAGTATGAGAATTGCATGAGTTTTGAAAGCATTTATGTTTAGCTCGTATTCTCCCCCTGAAAACATTAAAAACACGGAGAAAGTAGGGGTATGAACTCACCTCGGGTAAGTGGTTTGATTGAAAGATCGATACGAAGAGCCGGGTGTTCAAGTGAAGCCTTTAACACGATTCGATCCTAATAACATGTAATGACACATAAACGAGTCAAATGAAGGTATTTCACCACTATAAGTGATGGAAAACCACTCTAGGGACTTGAAACTATTTGCACCCAGTGATAGGACCTTGTAGGATTGAGTGTAGGGGGTGTATGGCCACCTAGAGTGTAGGGGGTGTATGGCCACCTAGAGTGTGCGGCCCAATGGGTGTGCAGCCGTACACTCATGAAATGAGGTGTCTTCAAGGTGTTCTCAAGGTCCACACTCACATCCACGAAGTGTTCAAGGTCTATACTCAATTGTGGTGCAAGATAAGGGTCCTAGAGGTGGGTTTATGGTCCTAGAATGAGTGTATGGTCGCACACAAGAGTGTGTGGTCGCACACTTGGGTGTGCTGCCGCACACTTGGAGTGTGCTGCTGCACAAGGGTGTGTGCGGTCGTACACCCCTCAATATGATGCCCAAATTGTCTATTCCAACGTGCAACAAGGCTAGGGGCATGTGTACATCGATTATGGAAGTTAAACTCTCACTTTGGAGGGTGTTTTAAGGGTGTGCGGCCACCCTAAGAGGGTGTGCGGCCGCACTCACTTCCAAACACGAAGAACATGTCGTTTTTGCACACTTAGAGCTTGGATAGAGTGGTCTTTCATGGATTGCAAGATAGAAGCTGTGGAAGGTTCAAAGTTGGAGAAACTTGAGAGGAAATGATGTTGTGTGTTGCCAAGGTGCTAAAGGAATGAAAGGAAGGGGGCTACCCTTTATATAGGGGTAAGGGTGCTGCCCAAAAACGAGTGTGCTGCCAAGGGAGTGGGTGTGCGGCCGCACACCCATGTGTACGGTCGTACACTCCTCCAAGAGGTGTGTATGGCCCGATTTTCTCATTATTCAACACCCTGACTCATTCCTAACCTCCACCTTGGTTATATACAAGCTTAGAACACTTAAATGAACCCTTAAATAGCACCAGAAATCAACAAAACAAGTTGAATATTGATGGAATTGACTAAGTGTACAAGATTGAAATTTCCGGGTTGTCACAGTTGTCACCAAAAAGATCAAACAAGGGGTCTTCATGACTCTCATTACTTCCTTATATAATCGTTTATCTCATCTCCATTAAGGCACCGACCTTTGTTTTACAGACAAGACCCTCCCATGTCATCTTGTTATCGCATCATCCCTCCCTGTCACCATTACCTCTGATTTACTCCCTCCTACTGAAATCAAAACAACAATAAATTTTGTCACTTCGATTTAACCTAAACCAGACCCTAATCACTCCACGATTCTAAAGTTTGGAATTTTTTCTTTTGTTGGGAATTTATGGTTCTATACAATAATAGAAACCTCCATATCTAAATTGAAAACATTTGGAACAATAACCAATATACATGAAGTTTGTAAATCTTGATTTTATGCATGTTTAAAGGGTTCTAAACTTATATGTAGCTATCATCCACACTAGATTCGAGTTATCATCGTTGAGTGAAGTTTTATAAAGATTAGGGACAATGATCAGTGATTTGATATTGATCCTTGTTTTTAGGGAACCATTTTGAGGTTATATATGCATGGTTAATCCTTGTTTGCTAGGGAACCATTTATGTAAGTTTCTTTGGTCTTTTACCTATATTGCATCTTATTTTTGTGAAACGAATAATGCGATTAGTTTAATGTTTGGTGAATTAGGATGCGTTGATGATCGATTTGCCTAACATGTGTTATTAGTGTTGTGAAAAGTAAAGGAAATTATTCGAAACGGTATGTGGCAACATTTTGATTTTTCTTGTATGTTGTACATGTGTCTCTTTTTTACATGTATGTGATATAGTTGTTAGAATTGCTTAATTTGTAAGAGAACACTTGTATGCGACTAGATATATGTGTGTGTGTATGTCGATAACTTTGTATGTGTATATATTGTGTTTAAATACTATGTGTGTGTTTTCGTAAACTATGTGTATAAATAGAGAGTGGGAGGTGGTTATGTTAGGTTTGGGTCCAATATCATGGAAGTATAGATACAACATGTCGTGGTGTTTGTCAACCTCCAGAGGAAAGGTTATGGGGTGGTTAACAAGTGTAAGGGATCGAGTGGGATATATGAAGAAAACTAAGTTGGGTTGGGGTGGGTGTGGGTGTGGGTGTGGGTGTGGGTGTGGGTGTGACCATTTCTTATTTTTTATATAAACAAAACAATTAAATAAATGGAAAAAATCAAAAGAGTAAAATAGTTTTTCAAGTTTGATATGGATCAACACTACAATAAAAGTAAACCAAAACGACCATATCCACAATTTGGGAAGTCACCGGAGTGTAACCAAAAAAACACAAGGATCAAATTAGTAATTTTCTTAATAAAATACAATGAAAGGTAAAACACTTATTTTGAAATAAATAAACAAATATTACATGTATATACAATATACTAATAAACCGGATGATTTAACGATATAAATATATGGATGTCAAGTGTATGAATTAAATTCGCAACCCAAGCAAGTCAAATAGTTATTTTTGCAAATTAAACAATTTATAGATAAATTAAAAACATAAATAAAAATATTACGTCCAACTTTAATCATCGAGATAAAACGGATCAAATATTATTATATTCTTGTTCATCATTTATTTTTTTGTCTGTTAATTATGGTTTATGTTCATTCATTTATATTTGTTTATATTCGTTTATGCTTGAGAATGTTCTATTTTCATAACTTTTTTTTTATCAACGTTCGTTTAAAAACTTATTCATATATGTTCATTCTTTATTTGGATGTTTATGTTCATTCTTTATTCAAAAGTTTATGTTTATCAAACATGGCTGCAAGTTTTTCAATATATGTTTCAGCGTAAGTTAAAACACCAAGAAATCTTTGCAGTTGTTTTTTGTCTTCTAAAACATTTGGAAAGTCATGTAAATGTTCAAGAATATGCTTTTGAGGACAATAAGTACCCTCATTTATTTCTAAACCCAAAAAATTAATTTTTGTTTTGAAAAGATGAGCTTTCTTTTTTGAAAGTATTATTCCATATTTTAAAATGGTTCTGAGAACCTGTGTAACATGAACATGGTGTTCTTGTTCATCTTTGCTGAAGACCATGATGTCATCAACGTATACAGTACAGAAACCTTCAAGTCCTCGAAGGGCGTTTTGCATGTGTCTTTGAAAAATACTAGGGGCTTGTTTAAGCCCAAAAGGTAGTACTTTCCATTGAAAGAGTCCATCAGGACATGTGAAGGCAGTGAGAAGCTGCGATTCTTCATCAAGTAGGACTTGCCAGAAACCTGACTTGCAGTCAAAACTTGAATACATATTTTTTCCTCTTAGAAGAGTCAAAAGTTCGTGCATATTGGGTAGATTATGTGAGTCTCCAATAGTTGCATCATTGATTGCTTTGTAGTTGACAACCATGCGCTTCTTTCCTCTTCTTTTTTCTGCTTCTTTATTGACAAGAAAGGCAGGGGACATATGAGGGGATTTTGATTCTATAATTAGTCTCATATCAAGTAATTCCTTGATTTGTTTGGAGAATTCTTCTCTATCTTGTAGAGAGTAAACCATAGGTTTTTCTCTAATAACCGTTTTGGGATTAATGAGCTTAATTGAAGCTTTCATCCATCCTTTCGTTTTATTTGGATCAATAGGATTTTCAGAACAAACTTTTTCAAGAAGATCTTCAATCTGTTTGAACCTGGTAGTTTGAATAGAAATAATCTTTTCTTTATTAATTCCTTCTTGGGTTATATTAGTACCCGGAATTTGTTTTTCTTTAGAACCTTTTTCTTGAGTTTCGAGAAAACCTGGTTTTCCTTTGCTATAGGCTTCTGTGACCTTTTTTATAATTACCATATCATTATTAAGATGAAAGGCAATTCTATCTATCCATTGTATAAATGGTCCATAAACTTGACAAAAGTTGTTACCAATTATGATATCAATTCCTGAATTTTGTTGGTAAATAGTAGGAACGTTGAAATGTTCTCCTGAAAGTTCGAGATTAATATTTCTACAAACTTTATTTATCTTTATGGTTTCACCATTTGCAATAGTGGCACTAATTTCTTTGGGAGCATTTTCCCAGAGCTCATCCGGAATGATGAATTTGCTTGCAAGACATAAAGATGCACCTGTGTCTACAAAACAATGTACTCTAAATTTCTTATATCCTTTAAAGTTAAGGAAGGCAGAAACATAAATAGAGTTTGGATTAGTGAGATTCATGATGAGGGAATCATTAATCTTCTGGAGGTTTGTGCAAAATTGGTTTAACTCCTCCTCCTTAAAAAGTGGAGCCTGTATGAGACTAGTCTGAGTCATCCGTGGTTGATTCGTTTTCATCAGAAGTTGATGAAGAATCAGTTTCAACATGAAATGTAAAGACATGTTGTATACCTTCATACTCCTCTTCAAGAGCTTCATAACCTCCATTATTAGCGGTTTGTAAAACCTTGACTTTGTCAGGGTATTTTTTTCTATTTGGACATTCATTGGCATAGTGTCCTTCTTCATTGCAGATCCAACATCTACATTTTTTCTTTCCTTGTGGACAGGAAGTAGTCTTCTTAGGTGATTCTTTTGAAGGTTTTTTGAAGTATTTTCCTGGTGAAAATTTTCTTCTTTTCTTTTTCCAAAAAGATTTATATTTCTTTTTGTTTTTATATTTTTTCTTACTATAAGTTTTCCTTCCAATATCAAAGTTTTTGAAATCAGAGAGAATGCTACAACAATCTTTCTTATTAATGGTAAAGTCTTTATTAGAAAATATAATCAAGACCTAAGAAGGTAGTGTATATGACATTTATTAGATTATCAAAAAGATCTGAACCATGCAAATCTTCATTCCAATTATTATTTCTTAGGAACTTTTGCACAATTCCATCAGTTTTGTGTTCTAAAAGTAGAAGAACATTTTTTGCTTTTCAAATTCATCTGGCTTTGTCTGTAAGATTAGTGAAATCTCAGTAACCTATTTTTCTACAACCCTTTCTCTGAGTTTTAGATCTTGGATACAATCAATATTGAGTATATTGATCGTATTGGGTCCTTTGCTGCTATCTGGAATACCATTGTGTACAGGCATTTTGAACTCATATTTCTTTTTATTGCCTCTTCTTGTGGCTGTATAAGAAGATTCTGCTTCATCATCTTCCATATCTGAATATTCGAACTTAACAGTCTTTGTATTAGTTTTAAAGTTATCTTCTTGTTCTGATTCAGTATCAGGTTCATCTATTTTAGTCATTCTAAAATATTGATCAAAAAGTTTAGGTTCTTTTTGATACAATTCTTCGCATTCTTTAGTTTCTAAAGATAAAAGCTGAATAAGTTTTTGGTCAGCCTTATCATAATCTTCATATTGAAGGTTAAAGAAATATTTCTCAAGTTTCTCAGAGATTGTTTCTTTCATTTTTGCTCTTTTTTGAAAATATCAATTTTTTGGGAGTCTTTTGAGCTTCCTAAGTCAGGGTTTCCAATACTAGGATTGGGAGGTGAGTATTTCTTAAGACCTGAATATTTTCCAGGTTTGGTTTTTTGTTCTATGATGGAAATATTCTTGATGTGTTCAAGAATGTCTTTATTACAAGGGCAAGAGTCAATCTTTTCAGATAACTCTTTAGTAATGTCTGCAATAATTTTTGCAGATGCTACTTCTAACTGTGTAGTGGTTATGTATTTATTGACTGTTAAGTCAAAGTTTATGATCAGCCCATCTATTTTAAAAGTCATGATATTTCATTATGTTTTTAATCAATTCATTTAATAAAATGTATTATGAGTATTTTGATTTCATATCGTTTATCTTTTTTCCCTTTAATTAAAATGAAAGGTATAAAAATCAAAATATATTTTTCAAATAGATAAATTAAAAACATAAATGAAAATATTACGTCCATCTCTAATCATCGAGATAAAACGGATCAGATATTATTATAAGGTTATATTATTATATTCTTGTTCATCGTTTATTTTTTTTGTCTGTTAATTATCGTTTATGTTCATTCATTTATATTTGTTTATGTTTGTGAGTGTTCATATTTTTATAACTTTTTTTTATCAACGTCCTTTAAAAACTTATTCATATATGTTCATTCTTTATTTGGATGTTTATGTTTATTTATTTATTTGGATGTTTATGTTTATTTATTTTAAGGACTATGATATTTCATTTATGTTTTTAATCAATGCATTTAATAAAATGTGTTATGAGTATTTTGATATCATATCGTTGATTTTTTTCTCTTCATTTAAAATGAGGGATAAAAATCAAAATATATTTTTCAAATAGATAAATTAAAAACATAAATGAAAATATTACGTCCATCTTTAATCATCGAAATAAAACGGATCATATATGTTCATTTTTTATTTAGATGTTTATGTTCATTTTTTATTCCAATATTTATGTTTATTTATTTATCCTATGGTTCTAGGGCCATGTTTGGTAAGGTGGAATAGAGAGATGAATGAAATGAACCATTTAGTTACTATTTAAAATGTGTTGTTTGGTTATCAAAATGAAAGGAATGTTTCATTCCAAAGAGAATGGGATTCCTTAGGAACACGCCTTTTTCATTCCTTGTGGGTACCTTATTTTTCTTTCATTCCTTTCCGGCCTGTGAAAGAAAATGACAAATATACCCAACTTACCTCAATCGTATCTTGCTAATTAATTCTTGCATAATTGATTTTTGACAAATCAAAGAAAACCCCATTGAAACCAGAATTATTAACTACACATCTAAAAAACAAGAAACTTTCTACAAATTTTGAGCAGGAACAGTAGGAAGAATTACTTTTCAAGAATCGCTCTTGACAATCTAAAAAGCTTTTGCTTCATCGCTTAAGTTACATTTATATATTGCTTAGTTCTTCATTTTATTTGTCTTTGTTAATTCCAAAATCCAAAATTGTTTATAAGCATATTATTTATTGTTTAAACATCTTTGTTGTTAAACATGCACATGAACTTTCTGATGAAATGTCTCAATAATTTTTTTCATTGAAATGTTTATGACGTACCTTATAAATATATAGAGAAATTAAATTATCTTAATTTTTAATTGGTTCTAACTAAAGACATCCATGCTTTGACGATATATGCATAATTTTTTTTGGGTTTTGCATTTTTCATGTTTTGATAAACGATTGTTATTTTGATTATATAGAATGTTACTTAAACTATAAATCATATGTGTTGTGATTTATGAAGGCGCTTTTGTAATTATCAATTAATTTCATTCTATTCATTTGTTCATTTATATCTACCAAACATGTATGAATGATGCATTCCATTCAGGGAGACTGACCAAACATGACAATGGAATGGTAATGATCCATTCTATTATATTGTCCATTCCATTACATCGTTCATTCCATTTCTTTATTATTCCATTCCACCCAACCAAACATACCCTAGATTTGGATATTTATGCTCATTTATATTTGTTTATATTTATATATGTTTGTTCCTTTTAAATTGATTATTCATTTATATTCATTCATTTATGTTTGGTTGACATCATAACGAACGGATATGAACTAAGATGTTCTTTTTTAATAACAAGAAAAATCATTAAACTTATATATTCATATTAGGTCGTTTCTTCGATTAATTTAAACGAATGAAAAATATTCGATTTGTTTGTTGCTCTAGGGAAAACCATGCAAAAATATACTTTAGCGATCAAAAGTGGACGAACATAATTAAGGTGGCGATCAAGACAATTATGATAGTATAAGGGCTAGACACAACCTTTTTAATAAATTTCAATTTAAATGACGACCAATTCAGAAGATCTCACGCCTCCTAAAGTGCCACGTGCCATCTCGCGATCTACTACCAAAGACGCGACGCCCCCACTCGTTTTTCCTAATTGCATTTTGCTTTTTGAGTTTTTAAACTTTCTTTTTTCCTGGATAAAATCTAACTTTAAAATATAGAGGAAATTACAAAGACACCCCCTTTAATATAGCAGAAATCATAGATTTGGTCCAAAATAAATATTTAGTTACATGATTTGTCCTTGTAGTTTCAGTTTATTGCATATATGGCTTCTAAACGGGAACTTCTCAATAAATCCATTATATACAAAATATTCGTAGATAGTGAAAACGATGTTGCATTGGTTAAAGGTGAGCAAAATCAAAAAATCAAAAGAAAAAACCAACAAAACCGAAACCAAAAATCCAAAACCAAAACAAAATTGATGGTTAGGGTTTAAATTTTTTTAAAACATAAAATGTGGGTCCGGTTTCGATTTTTAATAAGGTAAAACCCAAACGAAACCGAACCGAACGTATTTTTAAATATTATAGTATTTCGTGAATCGTATATATTTATATTCGTTTATATGACTTATAAGCGCAAAAAGCAATTTTGTATGATGGTTAACGCGCAAAGTGGGCATCGAAGGGTGGGACGTCCCTGATTCTTGGCTTTGAAGTCCTCCCAATGTCCCACATCGTTGGTACTTTGAAATCTCATTATCTTGAACACTTATATAAATAACTACATCCTGTTTTCCTCAAGCGTCCTTTGCCCCATCTCTTCCGCATCCAGAATCATCTGGAATGTTCGTGTCTTTTGTTTTGGTGGCACATTCTACCTTGCAACTTCTTTCCTCTTTGGGCAGTCCTTCATGACATTCCCTTCGTCCCTACACTTGAAACACGCCCTTCTATCGTATTTGCACTCATCATAATAGTGATCAGGTCTTCCGCATCTGTAGTAGGTCACTTCTCGTTTACATTGCCCAACGTGCTTCTTTTTGCATTTATTGCACCAGTCTGCTTCATTATTACCACATACCTCTTATCGTTGAGGTCAAACCTTGATGTTTTACCCTTCTTATCGTAATTTGAGAGTCCTTCACTTTTCCTTTTCTCGCCAACTTCAGTTTTTTCGGCGGTTCTTTGCTTGATCATATCTTCCACAGACTTTGCAGCCTAAACTGCTGCTTCAAAGGTAGGTGTCTGCTTAACCGGCACATTGTACTCCCATGGTAGCCCCTTAGCATACCTATCAATATTGGTTAGTTCGTCCAGGACAATGCGCAAGGAAAACTCCATTATATCGATGAAATCATTGGTGTACTCCTCTACAGTCAAACTCTCAATCTTCAAATTTAGGAATCGGTTCTCCAATTCCAGTATGTTTTGAGTAGTTTAATACTTTCGCTGGAAATGCACTAGGAACTCCATCTATGTCAATTGCAACGGCTCTTTTGGGCTTATTATCTTTACCCAAGGTATTCCACCAGCGAACAGCTGAGCCCTTAAATTGTCTCACCACGTAGGTGGTCTGCAACTTTCATGTGCAACCGCAAGTGATGAAAGCTAGTTCTATCTCTAAAATCCAATCCATGATTTCGATTGGATCTTCCTTTCCATTAAAAGATGATTGCTTGCAAGTCATAAAATTTGTGTACTTGTAGTGGTGGGTTCATCATCCCTTCAGACCTCTGGTTCTTCTGGTCCTTGATAACTCTCTGAAATCCAATCCATGACTTCGATTGATAACTCTCTGAGTCATTGTTTACATTGCCTCGGGATGAATGGAGAATCTCGACCTGTGAGCCTCCTCCATTAGAATTTGGCGTACACCGCCCCAATAAGGAACCCAAACTCGCCGATGCAGAGTTAATAATCCACGGCTATCATAATCGAAGGAAGCCACCTGACCCACAATGTGCTCACTCTTCTGGCGCTCTTCCTTCATAGCCTCGGCCTGAGCCTCATGAATCCGCTCCAACAATGGAGTAAACACGGTCATCCTCAAACATATATCTCTGATCGGAGCCGCGACTGCCTTGCGGCTGAGAGAATTGGCCACCACATTGGCCTTCCCCGGGTGATAAAGGATCTCGCAATCATAATCCTTCACCACATCCAACCCTCGACGCTGCCTCATATTCAGATTCGGTTGATCCATGAAGTACCTCAGGCTCTTGTGATCCTTGTAAACAGTACAACAGACCCATAGAGGTAATGTCACCAAATCTTGAGGGCGAAAACCACGACCCCCAGGCCCCAACTCTAAATCATGCGTCGGGTAATTCGCCTCACGAGGCTTCAACTGCCTCGAAGCGTAAGCGGTCACACGACCCCGTTGCATCAACACTGTCCCCACGAAATTATCAACACCCTCTAGCAGGGTCCGAATCGGCGCCTCACACAACCGTTGTCTCAGAGTCTAGAAAGTTGCCTGCTGCTCAGGCCCCCAACGAAATGTCACCGTCTTCTTGGTTAGTCGGGTCAAAGGAACAATGATCTTGGATAAATCCTAGATGAAACTCCGATAATAACCAACCAAACCAAGGAAATTTCGAATCTCGGATGGAAAGTTCGGAACCTCCCACTGCATCACGACCTCGACCTTGGCCGGATCGACCAGAATACCCTTCTGGT